GTAATTTTCATCATAGGTACACGTCAACTATGACAGACAAAATGAGGAAAGAAAATCCAGAAAATCACATTGTAGGATTTTTAATGAATTCATTTGCAAATTATGGTGGAAAATAAGTATTTGGTCAATAACAAAAGTTTCTCAATACTTTGTTATATACCCTTTGTTGGCAATGACACAGGTCAAACGTTTTCTGTAAGTCTTCACAAGGTTTTCACACACTGTTGCTGGTATTTTGGCCCATTCCTCCATGCAGATCTCCTCTAGAGCAGTGATGTTTTGGGGCTGTCGCTGGGCAACACGGACTTTCAACTCCCTCCAAAGATTTTCTATGGGGTTGAGATCTGGAGACTGGCTAAGCCACTCCAGGACCTTGAAATGCTTCTTACGAAGCCACTCCTTCGTTGCCCGGGCGGTGTGTTTGGGATCATTGTCATGCTGAAAGACCCAGCCACGTTTCATCTTCAATGCCCTTGCTGATGGAAGGAGGTTTTCACTCAAAATCTCACGATACATGGCCCCATTCATTCTTTCCTTTACACGGATCAGTCGTCCTGGTCCCTTTGCAGAAAAACAGCCCCAAAGCATGATGTTTCCACCCCCATGCTTCACAGTAGGTATGGTGTTCTTTGGATGCAACTCAGCATTCTTTGTCCTCCAAACACGACGAGTTGAGTTTTTACCAAAAAGTTCTATTTTGGTTTCATCTGACCATATGACATTCTCCCAATCCTCTTCTGGATCATCCAAATGCACTCTAGCAAACTTCAGACGGGCCTGGACATGTACTGGCTTAAGCAGGGGGACACGTCTTGCACTGCAGGATTTGAGTCCCTGGCGGCGTAGTGTGTTACTGATGGTAGGCTTTGTTACTTTGGTCCCAGCTCTCTGCAGGTCATTCACTAGGTCCCCCCGTGTGGTTCTGGGATTTTTGCTCACCGTTCTTGTGATCATTTTGACCCCACGGGGTGAGATCTTGCGTGGAGCCCCAGATCGAGGGAGATTATCAGTGGTCTTGTATGTCTTCCATTTCCTAATAATTGCTCCCACAGTTGATTTCTTCAAACCAAGCTGCTTACCTATTGCAGATTCAGTCTTCCCAGCCTGGTGCAGGTCTACAGCTCTTTGGTCTTGGCCATAGTGGAGTTTGGAGTGTGACTGTTTGAGGTTGTGGACAGGTGTCTTTTATACTGATAACAAGTTCAAACAGGTGCCATTAATACAGGTAACGAGTGGAGGACAGAGGAGCCTCTTAAAGAAGAAGTTACAGGTCTGTGAGAGCCAGAAATCTTGCTTGTTTGTAGGTGACCAAATACTTATTTTCCACCATAATTTGCAAATAAATTCATAAAAAATCCTACAATGTAATTTTCTGGATATTTTTTTCTCAATTTGTCTGTCATAGTTGACGTGTACCTATGATGAAAATTACAGGCCTCTCTCATCTTTTTAAGTGGGAGAACTTGCACAATTGGTGGCTGACTAAATACTTTTTTTCCCCCACTGTACATACACACACACACACACTTTAAAAGAGTACTTGTTCTTGGACCATGCTCAAATCAAGGAGCCACATCGAGTGATTGCAAATTATTATTCACACGCTGAACTGCTGCTGGGATTCGTGATTGCCAATTACATTTTACTCAGAGACTGTACAGAGAGTGCGAGTGTTATTGCATGTAAAAAAAAAAAAAGCTTGAAAAAAAGCTTGAAGTGGATACACTCAAATGTAGGATGCACATTGGAGTCCTCTGGGCTTTGATTGTTGTCTATAGTGTTTAGATACATTATATTACAAATGTTAGTTACCCCAGATCTGCATACTGCATCAGCAAATGGCCAACATATTTTTGTTTTCATTGCCATTTTAAAGGTCCCATTCATTATGCCTTACGTTTCAAGGCAAGAAGGCGCAATATGAAGAGCCAGCAGTAACCCATTAACCTACACTCTCAGGCCCTGAAGGCCTCAGTGTGTGTTTAGGATACCTATATACACACAACCTTCTTTTTACAGGGCAGTAGAGTATACGCTAACATTTCAGTAAGAAATACAAAATGGCAAAGACATGGACGCTCTCGCTCTACATCAATTTCCCAAAACAAATAACCCGCTGCCAACCTAATACACCAAATGGGTTACACTGTTGATGCCACATTTAATCTGAATATATTTTACATATTTACAAAGGATAATCATTATTATGGCACACAATGACCGCCAAAGCCTGTGTTTTGGGCAAAAATGTACCCGTTGGTATTTAACTGGCACAGAGAGTGGAAATTGCTGCAATTACCCAAATTTCACAGATTGGCTTGGCTGGATTGTTGGATACCCCCATTGTGCAGTTTGTGCATGGTATAAACAGCAACCTGCAGCTTTACCACAGCTTAAGTAATTGGCTTAAGGGAACGAGCTCGTCACACACAAACTCCAGCTGACATTGGAATTGAGTGCAGTTCACATTAAGAACCCCTATATTCTCAATAGTGCCATGCAGATGTTGATTCTATGGAGTGAATGATGTTGTTGGATTTGATTGTGTTTGTCATTTTTGTGTGAACAGCCAGATGATACGCAGATCCATACTTCTCTGCAGAGAAACTGCATGGCATACTGTTTTAATGAGAGGTTGACAGCACTGGGAGAATAGACAGAGGAGAGATTAGTGTGTATGTGTGTTATTATGGGAGAAAGGCTGGGTTCAATATATATATTTGCTTATCTCTCTCTGCCATGTCCACTGGGGGCATCTCTATAAGCATACATTCTCCAGATGGTAAGAGTCAGGCAACCCTTTTACAAGAAGGAAAAGTATTTACTAGGAAAAGAAAACACTCGTTTAGACTCTGTGTGATCTGCAAGAGAAAATTCACCAGGCACAAGCAACACTGTTTTAATCGCAACGTGCAAGCATGTGTTGGAATTGCAAAGTAATTCTTATTTGCCTTTATTTCAACTGTCAACCTTGATCAGTGATTATAAGGTGTGTGGAAATGTCTGAAACTGTCACTTTTTACTCTATGCAACATTACTGTAATAACATACATTATTGTAATAACATAATATTTACATCTATGTAAATAAAGAGAAAAAGTGCTGTAATGTGGTTTCAACTCTAACACTTTACACTCAGATATTCAATGTGTTTAGTATGGTAAGGTCCTTATAATGGCGGCTTAGGTAGCTAAAAAACTCTAATTCCCATCAGACTTTGCGTCCACCCTGCGTGTGTGCTCTGTATGCAAGGGATAGAATTTTAGAATGTTTGGAGGCTGAGAGACTTGTTTAGTATAGTAGGCTACAGCGCTGTGTTGGCTAGCAGGAGGAGTCGTGGCTGCTGAAAAAAAGAGAAATGCAAAGACGCGGATGGAAGAATTCGAAGATTTGGGTTTGGAAATAGATTAAGCAAATCAAATATTGCTTATAAAGCATAGCATTTGGTTAGAGAGACAACGGGTTTAACCACGGACACAGCAACCAAATGAAAAGGGGGATTCAGCAAGAGGTGAGAAGCCGTAGGCTATACGGTATTTGAAACGGTAACATTGAAAAATGGGCAAACGTTCCACATTTGCTTGAAGTTTAAAAAAAATTGTTACATTGTATTTTACAAGATGAAGGACTGCATTCAGCTCATTTACCTATTCTTTGTTTGTAGGAATTACATTATCTTTAAATAGTGTAGGTTTTTAGACTGACTAAAGGTGTTAAAATCTATTCCATTTGAAATGGGTGAGGTTTTTTGTCATACAAAAGACGGTGTAGCCCAACCAGTCTTTGGCCCACTTTTCATCGACACCTATGACAGTTTACCCCTAATACCTATTTGTAGGCTTTTTCTTGCCGTTGCATTGCTGTAATGAGTTTAAAACTGCCTCTTTGTCATTTATTTCCAAAATGAGAGCGCTGTAGCAGGCGATTGGTTACGCGATGAGGTGGGCGCCTAGAAAACAGGCGAAAGGTGAATAATAACACCGGACATGTTATAAATTGATAGACATATTACACTCACTGTATTGCCGATCTGAATAGAAACCACACTTCTAAGTTATTGCTTTTATTCATTATTGCATCGTGGGATAGGGAACATTAATGTCGCTGTAGGCAGATAAAAGGGGGTCCTCTCATTTGGAGTTTTTTCCCGGTTGAGGACGGATGTGAAATGTTTGCGATTTGAAGCCACCTAGGAAGGAAGGGAGATCAGTGAGTAGGTTAGAGAAACTGAACGATACCTTGCCAAGAATCCAAGAGTGAGGACCATCTGCAATGTATTGTTAGTTACTGTGTTATAAACAAACCCCCCCATTCTGCAAAGCTATGCATTTTCCAATGAGAGTGAACTGTGTAATTGTATAGGCTAGATAAAAGTTGAATCTGTAATCTGATTTTTTTTACACCAAGCTTCTGTTTATTCCAGGAAAGTGACCAGGCGCTCAATGTTATTGGAGAGACCAACACAACTCTGGCAGAGTCTCATATGTTAATGTAATGGAAACAATATCCTCGCTCCAGTTTCCCTCTGAAATGTATCAAGGGAAACAAATCACTGACTCTCAGGGCTAATTTTATCAAGCATTGGTTGAGTTTGATAGTGGATGCACTCAAAGCACTGTGCCCTGTCATGCACAACACCATGTTAAAGCAACAAACCTGGAATAACACTGAGCATTCAGTCCAGCCAATGAGAAAGCCATGGAAGAAGTTAGTGGAAAATGTACAGTACAAGCCTCAATTGTGACTCTTTTTTTGCCCCAGATATTCAGCGACGTCCCAAAAACTGCTTTTCTTGCCCACAGCCATTCTGTTTTCTCAGAAGGGAGCTTCAGTTGCACACTGGCTTTATCACAACACTAAGGACAGCTGCAATCAACTTGGAAAGGCATATGTGGAGCCAAAAAAATGGATACTCAAATTTACAGCTGGCCTACTCTTGGTTGAAAATGTGAGGGCAAGGAAAGCCCTATGACAAAAAGCCAGAACAGCAGTATCTCAAAATGGCCCAAACCAGTTTGCTGAAGGGGAAGCGCTTTTACTGCAGGGAGTGGGTCTTCCACAAGATCCAGCACTGCCTCCAGGAAAAGACTAATGGCCTGAGTGGTGTGACCAGCACTCCCAGCAAGCAGGCCGGTGCCTCCGGCACTGGCGCATCCAACCCCAGCGGCAGCTCCGCAGCAGGCTCTGCGAAGGCCACCGCCTGGGGGGTGTTGCTGGTGGGGGGGCCTGGGAGTGGGAAGACGGCCCTGTGCACGGAGCTCCTGTGGCCCACCTCAGCCCAGGGCACTCATCGGGGGCTGCAGCAGCAGAGTCTGGCCTTCCATTTCTGCCGGGCGGACGACTCGGACACACTCTGCCTAGGCGGCTTCATCCGAGGTCTGGTGGCCCAGATTTGCCGGAGCGGCCTGTTGCCGGGTTACGAGGAGAAGGTGCGCGACCCAGCGGTGCAAAGCGCCCTGCAGCCAGGGGAGTGTGAGAGAAACCCCACTGAGGCTTTCAAGAGGTAGGTGAAGCCTGCTGCCCACCCCGTTGCCTCCTCTCCCCTCCTGTCCTTACCCCACCCCTCCCCCTTTTACTGCTCACACACTTCCCTTAACCCCACCCCAGCAGTCCTCTGTCCCCCTACCCATTGATATAGTGTTTGTGTTGTTGTTTTCCCGTTCTGTGGCATGCTGTGGCCGCTAGCCCTTGGTTGAGAAAAGGTCAGTTATTTTAAGTGGCACCCAGGCTCAGGTGGCCGGAGGGAAGAACGTACTGCTTTGAAGTGTGTGACTGACTGCCCTATATGAAGATGTGGGCTGCACATGTGAAACAAAGTACCGTACAGGATCAAGCTTGGTCATATAATGTGATCCACACTGACTTTTCTCTCTGTAAGACTGGGGCTTTAAAAGGGGTTTTAAGCTGTATTTTTTAAAGGAACTGCCTTGTGTGTATGTTTGTGTGTATGTTACATGCATGACTTGTCTGCACGACGGGTCAACCAGTCTATACTAAACACACATGGGATGGAATGCAGTGTTGAACACACATGCCTCTTGTCTGGCCATCTGGTGATGCTTATTGCACCATGTCTACATCACACACTGGGAAAGTGGGTCAAACGTTCAGCGAGGTAAATCATTTTTAAATGGTCAACGGACTCATTGATTTCCCTGGTCTTTTACATCTTTCCCAAAGGAAGTTGAGGAAGTAGCCCTGTGTCAGTTAGTATAGTAACAAGGCACTCCCTATTGATGCCTGGGACTTGACTGTGAACTTTGAGATAGAAGACAGGTTAACATGGGGACGTAAACAACCAGTGGAAAGACAGAGGGCCAGTTCTGGTCAGTGTCAAGGGAATAGAAAGCTTCTCACAGACAGCATCGCCAACCCAGCCTGGCCTAAACAAGGGCATTTCTTTACCGCTTGAGGTTTGGTTCAGACTCTGTGGACAACAGACAGAATTCTTATCCAACGAAGATTACAACCTTTTGTTTGTGGAGTAAATATGCACTCTGGAGAATGTCTTATCACCATCTCAGGTGTAAAAGCATATTGGGCACTGTTGTACACAAATACTAGATGCTATCAGGTTGCAGAAAGTTGGAATGTGGAAGATCTGTATCGCAGCCAATATCCTCCGCTCTATCTTTGTGTTCTGGCATTTGCAATAGGCAAAGAAAGCAATGGAGGAATATAAAAGTGTATTATTTTTCCAAAGTTATGGTTCCCCTAATTTACTTTAGAAATGAAATGTCACAGGGGGTGGGAAACTCATCTCAGGTGAACATGTTCCCAAAAAATAAAAAAATGTGCACAAATGTGTTCATTTGTAAAGGTTAGGATCCTGGTAAACAAGACTGGTGGAGCCTTGACCTCGGACTCTGTTTTAAAACCTTACCAGCATGTGAATGCCAGAGGGGTTGGCCAAATTCCTTGGCCAAACAAGCATGTTTGTTGATCGTAATCACTGGTTGTGTCAATATATTAAACCTGGTTCAACCTGGTCTCCAGCCTATACACTGCCATCCTCTCCATTCACATTATGGGCTATTGTAGTCACCAGAATATGTTGTATACCTTTAATCTTAATCTTGATAGAAACAACAACAACGTGAAAACCTGGGAGGGAGGTGGGTGGTGGGGAATTCAAGCACCGTGTAGGACAATTGATAACCAACAAACCTGAAAATATACTAAAGAATCTCACAAATGTACTCATGTCAATAACTAACTAAGACATGCTTTCCCTCTATCAATGGCCTCTACCATGTTTTGACTAGAGCACTATCAGTGGAATTAATTTGGCCTTGTCGTTCGAAACTATCAAACAGTCTCCCAGCAACATGTCTAGCTTTTTTCCTCAGGACGAAAGAGCACAAATAAATAGGTGGAATAAACTCAGTCATGTGGGCACTCTAAAAGCTGAAGGCACTGGGAAATGTGCTGAGAGGGCAGGTTCTTTTTTTGTTTAGGTGAGAGCTTTTGGGGTTTGTTTGTAAGGGGGATTTTCAAATGAGCGTGCAGTAGTTTGAATAACTGCCAGGCAAATATGTATGTGGTAGCAAAGGAACCTTGTAAAATGATCATGGCTTGAATCTGATAACCAGGTTTGAGTTTCTTGGCAGTATTTTGTTCACTCAGTAAGTCAATGTTTTTGCCTTTTTCAAACATTGGATTTCTATTTTCCTCCAAATTAACATTAGCCACTTAATTGAATTGACTCATAAATCAAAACACTTTTTTCCCCTTTATTATTATTATTATTATAATTTTTTTTTAAATACATAGGCCTACAGCTAGAAGAACAAGATAATGTTCTAAAGCTTTATACATGCAAGGGCTGTAGGCAATGACTAGCTTGTTTCCAACATTTATATGCAGCTTTTCCTCTACTGTAGTTTGGAGCTTCAGATATTATGAATAACCGAAGCAGAAACTTTCAGAAACTCCATAAATGATGAATGTGATCTGGATGTAGGGCTGCGCGATATATCGAATTAATTTGAATGTATGGTTTAGCGCGATGTTCCAAATGCTGTGTGCACTGTGCACCTTCCCACGCACACACAGACTCCAAGCCCCTACCCCTGCCACTCACAACAACAAAGACGAAAGATCACTTCTTCCTCTCTGACAACAAGCAGTTTCAACTCGCTATTTGCATATCAATTATGTACTTTTTACTCCATACATTTTCCCTGACACCCAAAAGTACTCTTTACATTTTGAATGCTTAGCAGGACAGGAAAATGGTCCAATTCACACTTATCAAGAGAACATCCCTGGTCATCCCTACTGCCTCTGATCTGGCTGACTCACTAAACACACTTTGTTTGTAAATTGTGTTGGAGTGTGCACTGGCTATTCGTAAATAAATAAAAAACAAGAAAATTGTGCCGAATGATTTATACTTTTACTTTTGATACTTAAGTATATTTTAGCAAATCACATTTTATTTGCCACATGCGCCGAATACAACAGATGTAGACATTACCATGAAATGCTTACTTACAGCCCTTAACCAACAATGCATTTATTTTTTAATAAAAAGTAAAATTAAACAACAACAACAAAAAAGTGTTGAGAAAAAAGAGCAGAAGTAAAATAAAATAACAGTAGGGAGGCTATATACAGGAGGGTACCGGTGCAGAGTCAATGTGCGGGGGCACCGGATAGTTGAGGTAAATTACATTTACTTTTAATACTTAAGTATATTTCAAACCAAATACTTTTAGACTTTTACTCAAGTAATATTTTACTGGGTGACTTTCACTTTTACTTGAGTCATTTTCTATTAAGGCATCTTTACTTTTACTCAAGTTTGACAATTGTGTACTTTTTCCACCACTGGTCACACACGGCTTTGCGGTACCACGTACCACTAGCAGCATTTTAGCCACAGACTGTTAGTGCTAGCTGTCTAGTCTTTTTTAAAATGTGTAATGAGCATAGAAAGACACATACAGTACCTTCGGAAAGTATTCAGACCCCTTTACTTTTTCCAAATTTTGTTAGGTTACAGCCTTATTCTAAAATTGATTAAATAGTTTTTTCCCCCTCATCAATCTACACACAATAGCCCATAATGATTAAGCAAAAAACGTTTTTTGGAAATGTTTGCTAATTTATAAAACACGGAAATAACACAAGTATTCAGACCCTTTACTCAGTACTTTGTTGAAGCACCGTTGGCAGCGATTAAAGCCTTGAGTCTTCTTGGGTATGATGCTACAAGCTTGGCACACCTGTATTTGGGGAGTTTCTCCCATTCTTTTCTGCATATCCTCTCAAGCTCTGTCAGGTTGCACAGCTATTTTCAGGTCTCTCCAGAGATGTTGGATCGGGTTCAAGTCCGGGCTCTGGCTGGGCCACTCAAGGACATTCAGAAACTTGTCCCGCAGCTACTCCCGCGTTGTCTTGGCTGTGCGCTTAGGGTCGTTGTCCTGTTGGAAGATGAACCTTTGCCCCAGTCTGAGGTCCTGAGCGCTCTGGAGCAGGCTTTCATCAAGGATCTCTCTGTACTTTGCTCCGTTAATCTTTGCCTCAATCCTGACTAAATCAAATCTTATTTGCCACATGCGCCGAATACAACAGGTGTAGACCTTACAGTGAAACGCTTACTTACAAGCCCTTAACCAACAATGCAGTTTAAAAATAAAAAAAATATTATTATTATTTTTAAATACCTTTCTCCCCCGATTGCTCAGTTTGGCCGGGCGGCCAGCTCTAGGAAGAGTCTTGGTGGTTCCAAACTTCTTCCATTTAAGAATGATGGAGGCCACTGTGTTCTTGGGGACCTTCAATGCTGCAGAATTTTTTTTGTACCCTTCCCCAGATTTGTGCCTCGACACAATCCTGTCTCAGAGCACTACAAACATCCCCGCAGCATGATGCTGCCACCAATATGCTTCACTGTAGGGATGGTACCAAGGTTTCTCCAGACGTGACGCTTGGCATTCAGGCCAAAGAGTTCAATCTTGGTTTCATCAGACCAGAGAATCTTGTTTGTCATGGTCTGAGTCCTTTAGGTGCCTTTTTGCAAACTCCAAGCAGCCTTTCATGTGCCTTATACTGAGGAGTGGCTTCCATCTGGCCACTATACCATAAAGGTCTGATTGGAGGAGTGCTGCAGAGATGGTTTTCCTTCTGGAAGGTTATCCCATTTCCACAGAGGAACTCTGGAGCTCTGTCAGAGTGACAATCAGGTTCTTGGTCACCTCCCTGACCAAGGCCCTTCTTTCATGATTGCTCAGTTTGGCCAGGTGGCCAGCTCTAGAAAGAGTCTTAGTGGTTCCAAACTTCTTCCATTAAAGAATGATGGAGGCCACTGTGTTCTTGGGGACCTTCAATGCTGCAGAAATGTTTTGGTACCCTTCCCCAGATCTGTGCCTCGACACAATCCTGTCTCGGAGCTCTACGGAAAATTCCTTTGACCTCATGGCTTGGTTTTTGCTCTGACATGCACTGTCAACTGTGGGACCTTATATAGACAGGTGGGTGCCTTTCATGTCCAATCAATTGAATTTACCACAGGTGGACTCCAATCAAGTTGTAGAAACATCTCAAGGATGATCAATGGAAACAGGTTGCACCTGAGCTCAATTTCGAGTCTCATAGCAAAGGGTCTGAATATTTATGTAAATAAGGTATTTCTGTTTTTTATTTTTAATACATTTGCAAAGATTTCTAAAAACCTGTTTTTGCTTTATCATTATGGGGTATTGTGTGTAGATTGCTGAGGATTTTTATTTATGTAATCAATTTTAGAATAAGGCTGTAACGTAACAAAATGCGGAAAAAGTCAAGGGGTCTGAATACTTTCCGAAGGCACTGTATATGTAAGGAATTGTCAACACATTCTCATTTTGAGAAATAAGCATCTTCTTCGCCAGGTAGGCCACTTGATTTCAACATCTAAACAAAGTGAACAGGCTATGTTGTTCAAACAGTTGGAGTCGGACAGGAAGGTGTATTCATAAAAGTTAAACTGTTCTACCTTGTTAGCAAGCAAATAGATCAAGTTTGGCTAGAATTTAAATATAAAGATCAGCTGACACTCACTAGCACGTGGGCTTGTGCTTGAGAGATTGTTTGTGAGACCTGTGTTAATTTTCTATAATGCCTGCTGCCAGAAGTTGGTCATTGTGCATGGTTCTGGTTACATTTGTAACAAAAATGGCATTTTCATAGAGAGACTTGAAAGCAAGATCAGTGATTATGGCAAAAAAAGCAGTTTAATCTATTTTTTATAAAATAATGTAATCATTAGTGGGTTGTGGAAGGCTAACATTTATCCTAGGTATAAGTTAACAAGCCCTGAATTCATTAGATTATTCTTGACTGTTTGAAATTCAGTGTATTGACCATTAACTTAGCAATAAAGCTTATTTAGAGAAAACATTTTAAAATTGACATATATTGTGAATCGCTCATAAGTTAACAAATCTAGATATGATTTTTAGGCCATATCGCCCAGCCATACATGGATCTATTGAAACTCTGCTGACACTATATGTTCATGGCATATGGTTGTCCTAACCTCACAAACCTGTGTCATGACCATTAGATGCAATTCAATGTAACGTTGCTTATATCCTAAAAATGCATCTCTACTCTGAGTTTGTCAAATTCTTGAAATTGTGCATTCCACAGGTGCAACAGTGGTAAGTACTATGTAACAATGTTTACCTACACTGGGATAACACAGTACCTGCCTACCATGGAAATACAATATTATAAGGGACACTTATTGTAAAGTTGGACCAGTACATTTACTCTTAATGTAGTAATTGAAATGAGTAATTGCTAGTGGGTTGGGGACTGCAGAGCGGCAGTTGGAGCGAAAGAAGCAGATGCTAATCGAAGATGAAAGCGCCGCGCGCCCTTCATGCGTTGCACGGCTGCGGAAGACTCACTGCAGATTAGGTCACTTTTTAAAGGATGCCGCGATGACTCAGCATTCTGGAGCCATCCTCTGTCCACGTCGCTTTGACTTGGCATATAGGGGCGGTGGGTATGGGAGGGGGTGTTATCACACTAAAAAGCCCAAACGTGCATCGGATCCCCTTTTGCGTGTTTGCATGACGAACGGGTTAAATGTTAACTGAGCTGTTGGCTGCGCACGTTAGGAGGTCGCTAAGTGATGTGAAATGAAAGCCCCAGCTGCGGTTGATCTTCTGTGTTCTCAGAGGATGTCAATCCTGCAATGCCGTGCAGGATATCAGCCTTCTTCTTCTGTCTCGTTCTGACTAGAGTGAATGGGAGGGGAGGCAGTTGCGTATGCTTTGTCTGTTACATGATGTCTTCTTGTGTTTCCTCATCAGGGTGAAATACAGGAGACCCTCTCATTGTCCCGACAGTCTGCGTCATCAGACTTCTTCAGACATCTAGCATGCTGTGTACTGTGTAGCGTGTCCCAGAGTCAAATTTAACAGGGGTGTGAAAAAGGCGTAGGCGGTCGTGGAGTTGGAAGGGATGACATTTTCAGATCCCACTGATAGTGTTGAGTAACTGGCCGTCTGGCCCGGGAATGCACACCTCGTCTGGGTGTTCAATCATTTCAGGGGTTAGTGTAGGGCTTAAACCTGTTTGTGTTCATTGAACTATCTTAAATTGTGTACTTTTTCTGCTTTTAAGCCATTTAAATTAATTTTCAGGTTATGCCAAATTGGTCTCATGTTTTGTTTTCTTGGTTTGTTTGAAGAGATGAAGTCCAAAGAACAAAATAAGTTGCTTTTGTGCAGGTTATTTCATTGTATAGACTAGCCACTTTCTCCCATTCTGTCTTTATCTTGCATTGAATGAGCTGTCTATTGAGCACTGTTTATTAGACAGCTCTAGACTACCTTTTATAGGAAGCCTGAACATTTGTATTTTATTTTGCAACATCCATTACCAGAAGCCGCTTTTTGTCTGTAAGCCAACTAATTTGCTGTTTGCACCTTGAATCTCTCACATTTAATGATTCAGTCAAGCCAAATTATAGTGAACTAGTAATCGGTAAAGTACCTTTACCTCGCGGAACCTCTGTGGCAGTATGATTGGACAATCGGGCCAGAATCTGGCTATATTTGCTGGGCAGGTTTGCACGTGTAGTAAGGAAATCATAATGTCAACTGAGGAAGTGTTCCTTTATGTGCATTGGTATCAGGGGTGTAATGCAGCCGGTGTCCAGCGGAGCGTCGACTTCTCCGAATGGTGCTTGTTTAATAAAGTTGAGATTAAAGTTGAATCAATATGTCTCGCAAGATCTCTTAATGATTCATTAGTATTATACATAACAAACCGAATATAATAGAATAGTGTAACGTTAGGCTCTAGTGTTGGACCAAAAACACCACATAATTAGGCTACTTATGACATTTTATTATGAATGTGCTGAATGGTCGCATTTCTTTTCTCACGCGGCCAGAACTCAACAGCGTGCGCCACTAGGCTTAATATGATTTGATTGAAACAGTGGAAGTGTAGCTTCTTAACCTCTACGGAATCGGTGTCCCGTATACGGGACGGTTGAGTAACAGCAAACTTTCCAGGACATAGACATGTCTTATATGGGCAGAAAGCTTAAATTCTTGTTAATCTAACTGCATTGTCCAATTTACAGTATCTATTACAGTGAAAAAATACCATGCTATTGTTTGAGGAGAGTGCACAACAACAAAAAACTTACCACGGCAACTGGTTTGATACATTCACCTCTGAATGTAATCTTGCTCTGATTTGTCATCCTAAGGGTCCCAGAGATAAAATGTAGCATAGTTTTGTTTGATAAAATCTATTTTTATATTCAAATGTAGGAACTGTGTTCTACAGTTTGAACTCCTGCTGTCTCTGGCTCCACACCCACCCCCGCCCGATGTGTGAAAGTTAGTGTATAAGCTAACGATCCATCATGTATGACATTCCTGGGAGTGTGTAAACTTACATTTTGTATTACCAAATCATTTTGTATGTTCTCTATAGTTACAGTTGAAGTCGGAAGTTAGCCAAATACATTTCAACTTTTTTCACAATTCCTGACATTTAATCTTAGTTACAATTCCCTGTCTTAGGTCAGTTAGGATCACCACTTTATTTTAAGAATGTGAAATGTCAGAATAATAGCAGAGAAAATTATTTATTTCAGCTTTTATTTATTTCATCACATTCCCAGTGGGTCAGAAGTTTACACACACTCAATTAGTATTTGGTAGCATTGCCTTTAAATTGTTTATCTTGGGTCAAACGTTTCGGGTAGCCTTCCACAAGCTTCCCACAATAAGTTGGGTGAATGTTGGCCCATTCCTCCTGACAGAGCTGGTGTAACCGAGTCAGGTTTGTAGGCCTCCTTGCTCGCACACGCTTTTTCAGTTCTGCCCACATATTTTCCATAGGATTGAGGTCAGGGCTTTGTGATAGCCACTCCAATACCTTGACTTTGTTGTCCTTAAGCCATTTTGCCACAACTTTGGAAGTATGCTTGAGGTAATTGTCCATTTGGAAGACCCATTTGCAACCAAGCTTTAACTTCCTGACTGATGTCTTGAGATGTTGCTTCAATATATCCACATAATTTTCCTTCCTCATGATGCCATCTATTTTGAGAAGTGCACCAGTCCCTCCTGCAGCAAAGCACCCCCACAGCATGATGCTGCCACCCCCATGCTTCACGGTTGGGATGGTGTTCTTCGGCTTGCAAAATCCACCCTTTTTCCTCCAAACATAACAATGGTCATTATGGCCAAACAGTTCTATTTCTGTTTCATCAGACCAGAGGACATTTATCCAAAAAGTATGATCTTTGTCCCCATGTGCAGTTGCAAACCGTAGTCTGGCTTTTTTATGGCGGTTTTGGAGCAGTGGCTTCTTCCTTGCTGAGCGGACTTTCAGGTTATGTCGATATAAGACTCGTTTTACTGTGGATATAGATACTTTTGTACCTGTTTCCTCCAGCATCTTCACAAGGTCCTTTGCTGTTGTTCTGGGATTGATTTGCACCAGTACGTTAATCTTTAGGAGACAGAACACGTCTCCTTCCTGAGAGGTATGATGGCTGTGTGGTCCCATGGTGTTTATACTTGCGTACTATTGTTTGTACAGATGAACGTGGTACCTTCAGGCGTTTGGAAATTGCTCTCAAGGATGAACCAGACTTGGCTGATTTCTTTTGATTTTCCCATGATGTCAAGCAAAGAGGCACTGAGTTTGAAGGTATGCCTTGAAATACATCCACAGTACACCTCCAATTGACTCAAATGATGTCAATTAGCCTATCAGAAGCTTCTAAAGCCATGACATCATTTTCTGGAGTTTTCCAAGCTGTTTAAAGGCACAGTCTTCTGACCCACTGGAATTGTGATACAGTGAATTATAAGTGAAATAATCTGTCTGTAAACAATTGTTGGAAAAATTACTTGTGTCATGCACAAAGTAGATGTCCTAACCGACTTGCCAAAACTATAGTTTGTTAACAAGAAATGTGTGGAGTGGTTGAAAAACGAGTAAACGTACAAAATCAGCAGGGGATGGATCAGGGTAGGGGAGGGCACAATTGGCCCAGCGTCGTCCAGGGTAGGGGAGGGAATGGCCGGCAGGGATGTAGCTCAGTTGGTAGAGCATGGCGTTTGCAACGCCAGTGTTGTGGGTTCGATTCCCACGGGGGGCCAGTATGAAAAAAATAAAAAATAAATAATAATGTATGCACTCACTAACTGTAAGTCGCTCTGGATAAGAGCATCTGCTAAATGACTTAAATGTAAATGGGATCAAATACTTTTTTCCCTCACTGTAGGTGCACTTGATTTGCTCTCTGGGCATGCCAAGTAGGCAGAGTTTGTACCTTCAGACACATGAAATGGTTCAAAATGTGAACATTTCGCCTACCCTGCGCGCAGGGCAGCTGAAACAAGTGCACCTACTGCCAACAGCGCAAAACAGAATAAAAGTAGGAATGCAAGGCTTTATCATTGGGTTTTTTATAGAAATATTTCGCGATCACTAGGAATGCCTTGGAGATCGACCAGTCGATTGCGATCGACCATTTGGTGACCACTGTTCTAAAATAATATCGTACAATAGGCTACATTTCGGTACCAACTTTCATTAAGAAATTATGATGTCATTTTTAAACAATTTGTTCCGGTACTTAAAAAAATAGCACTACATTACTGATACTGATTGTTATGCTCTGAAAAAGCAAAAGACAAAAGCAAGAAAGAAGCGAATTTTGGCACGTGACTGGTTATGGAAAAGAGGACAATGTGGATTGTCGATTTTGTAAAAAGAGCTTGAGGTGAGAACAGGTTTAAATTCGACTAGTCCAGAAGACCAGCTAGCTTGTGTGTGTGTGTGTGTGTGTTGAACTTGTGAGGTAGGTGAAGAGAACATTTATAGTTCTGAGTGACTGATTGGCTGATGGTGGGACATGCCTCGCACCTGCTCTGAGCACTGCTCACACTTGGTGATAATGGCCAATTTGAGGCCGAATATAGAGTATTCAACATGTTTGAAAATTATCTGGATGCCGTAAGTGCCTGTAGAGTGCCCGGGAGCCCGTGACAGCCATCAACCGCAAATTGGTTATGTGCTTACACTTTACTGGCTGCTGCGTTAGTTTTTACTCAGGGTTTGCTCCGATTTCCTCCGATTTGGAAAAATGCGGCGGGAGGTGATCGGGAGCCCGTAGCTCGGGCTAAAAACATGTAGTGTCCGCCCAGCTTTAGATGTAGTAGCATTTACACCGTTTATACATACATTTTTTTCATGAGAAAAACAGTATGCTGCAATTCAGAAAATGCTTTGTTTAAAAGCACACATTCAGTAAATCCAGTCAACCAATTCATTACTACTTGCTACTGCAGGGAGGAGGGGGAAAAGCCCATAGAGATATAAAATGTGGGCCGAATAGCTTTATGCCAAGAGAGCTCTTGATAAACTATGCAGGTTATCAGCAAATTTAAAAAATGTTTTTCTGCTTGTGGGTTGTGGAGATGCAGTTGTTTGAGCTTTAGAAATGGTTTTACTTTGTTCTGCAGCACCAGTTCACATTGTGTTGTGTTGGATGTCTGAGAGCCCCATCACTTTATACATTCTTTAATGTACTTTCTTTACTCCTCTTTGACAAAACGCTAGCATTGTTCATTCCAGCATAGTTGGCATGTTACCAATTCACCTCTGCATACATACGGCATATACGGCGTGACAAGTGCTTAATTTTTCATGAAGCACTCTGATGTCTCTTTGTAATTACTTGCATACATTTTTGTTGCGCAACTTCTTGTTGGTTTTGTTTTGCAGTCCTTGACCAATGACAAGCTGAGAAACATGTACCGTCAATGTAAGTCAGTGAAATCACTCAATCCAAGAAGGAATAGAATGAGTTCCTCTCTGATTTTGGAGGAAATTAGAGAATGGCTAATTTAATGGGGTAACTGCGCTAGTTGTGTAATGGCTGCCATTTTGCTACATTTTCAGAATCCACATTGCTCCCTGCAGAACCCCTCACATTGTCTCTATCAGCTTGATTCGTTAGGAGAACATGATTGGAATTACACCATGCTTTATGTATGAATGAATAATACAGTGGCTTGCGAAAGTATTCACCCCTCTTGGCATTTTTACTATTTTGTTGCCTTACAACCTGGAATTAAAATGGATTTTTTGGGGGGGTTTGTATCATTTGATTTACACAACATGCCTACCACTTTGAAGATGCAAAATATTTTTTGGGGTAAAACATACAAGAAATAAGACAAAAAAAACGAAAACTTGAGCGTGCATAACTATTCCCCCCCCCCCCCCCCCCCCCCCCAAAGTCAATACTTTGTAGAGCCACCTTTTGCATCAATTACAGCTGCAAGTCTCTTGGGGTATGTCTCTATAAGCTTGGCACATCTAGCCACTGGGATTTTTGCCCATTCTTCAAGGTAAAACTGCTGCAGCTCCTTTAAGTTGGATGGGTTCCGCTGGTGTACAGCAATCTTTAAGTCATATTGAGGTCTGGGCTTTGACTAGGCCATTCCAAGACATTGAAATGTTTCCCCTTAAACCATTTGAGCGTTGCTTTAGCAGTATGCTTAGGGTCTTTGTCCTGCTGGAAGGTGAACCTCCGTCCCAGTCTCAAATCTCTGGAAGACTGAAACAGGTTTCCCTCAAGAATTTCCCTGTATTTAGCGCCATCCATCATTCCTTCAATTCTGACCAGTTTCCCAGTCCCATCCCCACAGCATGATGCTGCCACCAACATGCTTCACTGTGGGGATGATGTTCTCGGGGTGATGAGAGGTGTTGGGTTTGCGCCAGACATAGCATTTTCCTTGATGGCCAAAAAGCTCAATTTTAGTCTCACCTGACCTGACCTGATCTGAGTACCTTCTTCCTTATATTTGCGGAGTCTCCTACATGCCTTTTGGCGAACACCAAACGTGTTTGCTTATTTTTTAATTTAAGCAAAGGCTTTTTTCTGGCCACTCTTCCGTAAAGCCCAGCTCTGTGGAGTGTACAGCTTAAAGTGGTCCTATGGACAGATACTCCAATCTCCGCTGTGGAGCTTTTCAGCTCCTTCAGGGTTATCTTTGGTCTCTTTGTTGCCTATCTGATTAATGCCCTCCTTGCCTGGTCTGTGAGTTTTGGTGAGCGGCCCTCTCTTGGCAGGTTTGAAAAATGTATGCACTCACTAACTGTAAGTCGCTCTGGATAAGAGTGTCTGCTAAATTACAAAAAAATGTTTAAGAAACAAAAAAAATGTTTGTTGTGGTGCCATATTCTTTCAAGTTTTTAATAATAATTTAATGGTTCTCTGTAGGATGTTCAAAGTTTCGGATATGTTTTTATAACCTAACCCTGATCTGTACTTCTCCACAACTTTGTCCCTGTCCTGTTTGGAGAGCTCCTTGGTCTTCATGGTGCCGCTTGCTTGGTGGTACCCCTTGCTTAGTGGTGTTGCAGACTCTGGGGCCATTCAGAACAGGTGTATATATACTGAGATCATGTGACAGATCATGTGACACTTAGATTGCACACAGGTGGTCTTTATTTAACTAATTATGTGACTCCTGAAGGTAATTGGTTGCACCAGATCTTATTTAGGGGCTTCATAGCATGAATTCTAAATAAAAATAAATTTAAATTACAGGTTGTAATGCAACAAAATAGGAAAAACGCCAAGGGGGATGAATACTTTTGCAAGGCACTGTATGCATTTTCCAGATTGGGAGCTGGTGGCTTTTTCTTTCTCTACCCCCTGATGGGGCCATGAGTCAGCTGTTGTTATGCAGTCTTTTCTGCTAAGCTCTCCTGACTATGCAAAGAAGCTGAGCTGGCTTTTTCTCCAAATTGAGTCTTTAAATGAAGAAATCAAGGTGCTCTTAATTATCTTAATGAAAAGAGTCTCTCGGTTTCCACTGTGCTAGTCGCTATTGCATTTCAATGGGATCTCTGCAGTGAGTAGTTGACCCACCTACTGTTCTTTTCCATGAATAGAATGGTGTCATGGCCAGACATGTACAGCGTATTGGACCTGAGCCACAGTCTCCCTATGCCATTGCATGACGAGGGAAATTTCAGGCTCAGCACCCACTCCATAAAAGCGTCTCAGTAAATGTGTAAGACGTGAGCACGGTGCCCAGTGCTGCCTGTCGGCCTAAACATCTTCACTAAACATCAAAGCAAAGCCCACATTGCACAATGTGGCCGGGCCGTGGAAGATGGGGGACTGCAGCACAACAGATGGCAGGTGCATTAGGGACGTTTCACATTCTCTTTCTTTCTCTAAATTATAATTATAATTGGCCTCAGCTATTTACATATGTCGAGGACGGAATAGGAACAAACAAAATAGTTAGTGTTAACATACGAGGCACAGGATGCGTCACAAATAAACTCATCATTGGCTGGGGTACTTCGGAAGTTAGTCTGGCACCCAGCCACATTCAGTATTGCCAACTTAGCGACTTTGTCGCTATATTTAGCGAGTTTTCAGACCCCTCTAGCGACACATTTTCAAAAAAGCGACTACCGACAAATCTAGCGACATTTTCTGGTGTTATTGGAGACTTTTGGAGACTGACGTGAAAGCACGTATCGTTCTTACTCTTCTCAACGAGCAGCGGGTGCTGCGGTGGGCCCCACCCCCGACCCACCGTGGGCTCCACCCCCGTCCCAAAGCACTCACCAGTAAGGGGGTAAGCCAGGGCGGTCCAGTCCTCTCACAGCAGTCCCTCCCAGCTGCAGTCAGAGCAGGAGATGTTCACCCCTCCGTGTCCAGACTGCAAATAATTCGCGCATGCGGGAAGCCGCTGCTGGCTGATCCCGCCCTGGCTTACATTCAGGGCGGGATGTAAATGTAGGGTGTTTTTTACTCACTTTTTGTCTCTCCCACGACGTTATTCCTCTCTCCTACAGCGTCCATCACAATTACATGCACATGGCCAATTATGCAAATTAGGTGATGACATCATTTAGCGACTTTTAGGACAGCCATTAGCTACTTTCCTTACTGAGGAGTTGGCAACACTGAGCCCATTGTTGTGCTCATTTCAAGCCCCTGTCCCCTTCCTGTAGGCAAGTAAGTTATCAACAGTTCTGAAAGCAGTTGATTTTAAGGAAAATGATAGCTCTTTGTCTCGTAACAAGGCCCGCATCGCTGTCTCTGTGAATTAGTTTGTCTGCAGGCGGCATGGCTGCAGTAGTTTGCAGTACACAAACTCTGCTGATTGGCATTCCACTTGGCTGGTTTTCCTGTCTGTGCTGCAGATTCGATGTGGGGCTGCAGCCGTCAGAAAGAGCGATCGGCCATGTTTCTCGGAGATGGAGCGATGTAATGATGGAGCTTGCAGGTTGATGACTGCGCGCTACCCTCCTTTTCTTGCACTTGAGAAATTGAGCTGTTGGAAAATAGAGGTTTGGAGGGCAGGTTTGGCTGGAAAGTGTTTGCTGAGCCCCTGCATTGGAATTGCAGTATGACTAAAAGTAATGTTTAAAAGGCTCCAATTTGATCAGCGAGGGCATGCATAACTAAAGGCTGTTTTAGCGGTGGTGGTAATTTACAACAGCAAAACAACAGTCTCAAGACTGGAATCAGGCTGGGGGTAGCAGCTCTGTACACAGGCACTGAAGTCTTGCCAGCATAAACATGCAGGTTGGGAAAATAAAACGGGAACAGATTCAATGCTGGCTTCATGGCATTTATGCACGCAGTCATATTATGCGTTATCATTTGAGCAAATGGGGTCCTCACTTTTCCCTTTGGCTTGCACGCTCATGTTATTTCAAGGTTAATGCAGCATTTCTTCAGTTGAAATTCTGATTCAATTCTGGGGGGGGGGCGGGTGTCTGGGGCATGTCATCTGTAATCTATACTGCAGGTTTCAATTCCCTAAAGATTTGCATTTGCACTGTGAAGGCCTGTCAAGGGCCTGAAAGCTGAACTGTGGATGGAGAGACAGTTTCTAAGATACAGTCAAACGTTTGACTCAGACCGACATTAAATCTATTTTTGTTGATGTAGGTAGGCAATCATCCTCACCTCTCTTCAACAGCATCAGCTTGCTGTGGAAAGCGTTAGGTGCACAGAGAGAGTTCTAAATCTCTCTCCTCTTCTCTCTTGCCCTGCAGGTGTGTTCTCCTCCCACTCTTGAATGCCAAGCCGCCTCAGCAGGCCCTCTTCCTCCTGGTTGACTCCATCGACGAAGGCTGTCAGTTGGGTGAGGGAGAGCAGAGGTCTTCAGGCTCAGGCACCCCCAGGACCATCGCTGAGCTCCTGGCCAGCCACCACGAGTACCTCCCGCCCTGGCTGCTCCTCATCTGCTCAGCACGCCGCCAGAACAAGGCCATCACCAAACTGTTCACAGGTAAAAAAAAAAAAAAAAAGTTCATACAGGCACCCAAATGAAGAGGGTGATGGGGTCCATATCTGGGATCCAAATGGTGATGCTTTTGTAAAGTATTTGGTATTACTGTAAAATGCACTTGTTTTGTCACCGAAAGGAGGAAAATGTATTGCAAAATAATTGTTGTTCCGTTTAGACCAAACACATGGCCACACAAACAATTAATGGGGATTTGGCATTTTGTATTGACACTGGTATGTCTCCTTGAAGAAGAAAACAGAATTCTAACTGTTTTTATTTGCATACATTAATCTGATGTTATTCAAGAGATTTCCTTTGTGTTTTCTGTAAGGCGATCCTAGCAAAGGCCTTTTCAGTTATATTTAAACTCTTACTGAGCAGGTTATGCCATTTTCTTCCGGAATACAAACTTTTCTATTACGTATTGTGATAAATGTCAGCCTTTTCTGCAGCTGTTAAACAAAGCACATGCTGTGCTTCCAGCCGAGTCAGCTCAGAGAATGCTAATTCCGAAGACATTTTAACATCATCAAATGCTAAAAAGATTAGGGCCTGCCACAGAACGCCTAAATATCACGATGCCTTGCGAAAACGAATACTGCTCTATACGCCATGACAAGCCGAACTAGCAGCCATTATCTCGTTGTCAGAATACCAGCCCACTATTGGGTGATGAGTAGAGAGGCTGGCGTAACATTAATCAAGCCAGAGAGAGAGTGGGTGTAATACCCTCCACAGAGCCAGCACGGTTGTGTGTCCCCTTTACCTTTCCAAACACAACATGTGGGGGATTCAGATGCCCTCCTGTTGCTGCTTGAAACATTATGTAAAACCCAATTTAAACAGCCCTGTTTATTATGTTTTCTGTTCAGAAAGTGGTTGGCAGTAACAATTTGTTTTCTGCTGAATAGAATTCCTATGCAATGCTAGTTTAGGTGAGTGTATTTCTGGCATTGGGCAGGGTTAACGCAGGGAAGCTGGTACTTTTGAACAAGAAGATGTACTGACAAATATTAATGTAGCTGGGCAAACACATCACAGTAAATGTCTAGAGAGATTCAAATATATTTACATAAAAATGCAAACTTGGATCTCAGTTAAAGGCTTTTGGAGCAAACTTTGGGTTTTGGAAGCCTGCCTGAAGCACTTCTATGGCAGTGTTATGTTTTGTACTTCGATAACACAAACAGGAATTTGCTAGAGGATCTTTTCCTAATCAATATTTTGACCCTAGTGTGGACCAGGCATGTTAATTCCGATGGACATAAAATAGATATGAAATTAAAATGTAAGCATTGCATCGAGAAAATGAAATGTAACAGTGCTGGAAGGTCTGCAGAGGCATTCATTTCCCATTAAACCAGTTTACACCAGTGGCCTGGACCTACTGCCTAATAGTCTTGATCTAACATAACATAGCAGCTGATGAATCATAGCTCTGTCATGGTTCCTTTCCGTACCATCATCAGCCTACAGAACACACAGATACATTGTTGAAATGGATCTGAGAGGAAGGTAGGGCCCCGATTCAAATGTTTAAGATACAAGTGCATCAGTCCTGGTACCCCTAACCTATCCAAATGTAGCATGCGTCAGTCAGAAAATTGATTAAAATGTTGTTGTTGCTCATATTACATTCTTTCTACCTTCTGAAAATACCTCTCATCTTTTGTGACAACTGTTGACAGTCATTGATCTACAAGTCATTTTGCATGCCGGACGACCCTAGGCAATATCAGTAGCCTAGTCAAACTGCGCAATGTGCCCAGCTTCACGCACTGTGCCCTGCTTCGTGTACTGTGCCCAGCTTCGCGTACTGTGCCCAGCTTCGCGTACTGACCAACACGAGGTAGGCAATTTGTTCCTGATCTTGCACATCTGCACGGCACCTTCAGCATTCTAATACTAAATAGCTTTTATGATATTAGGCTTTATTAGTTGAGTGACAACCTATGTAATTTGCTAGGTTATTGTTTTCTATGCGCTATTGAAAATGGTGTTTTGCCGGAATAATAGTACGCTACTGGAGACACAACGCTCATCTGGCTATACCTGCTGAACGGGGCTTACAATAGATATTATTTTGATTGTTCAAGGTTACCATTAGCAGTAATTTTGCTTTAAACAATCAGTGAATATGGTAATTTTTAGATATACAGGGTAAAGTTGATAATTTCATAACGAGGACAGCAATCACTTTTGCGAGGCCAAAGCAAAAGAAGAGAAGATCACTCTGTGAAAACTTCCAAACGGTCAAAACCATTCGATTTTGAGATGGGGGTGAAATGTCATAGCTAATTTGTAAACAATAAATATTGATACATTACTAGCTCAAACACTTCATCTGTAAAAATTACAAGTTAATTAGTGGGTAATGGTGTTTTCAGAACCAAAGTGGGGGGACAAAAAAACATATCTCAGAGTGGTAGTGGGGTGGTAGTGGGGTGGTAGTTGCCTAGTTTCCCTTATGGCTCAGCTCAGGTGCCTACATAGTAAATACGTCATAGACATACATCATTTACACACACATGCACACACACACACACTAGTGATGGAAAATCCGGCAGTTTTTACTGATTCAGATCTTTTCGACTCGTTCAGTCAAAAGAATGAATGTTTAGACTAATTTCGTTCATTTGAGTCAATAATGCCCAGAGCACACAGGACCCCCTATCGGCGAACGATGAACTGAAAACTCGAAAGAGTCATGATTATACAAGCTTCTCGTTCACATGTCATTTACTATAAGGGGCTAATTGGAGCTGTCATTTGTGACAGAGAGTTGTTAAAGTGTGCTTTAAACAATGTACATGTGTTGATTGCTAGGCATACAAACACAATTATTTATTGATACATTTGAAACAAGGTCTAGTTGTGGCCGCAATTGGACTAGATTGTGAAAGACTCTTGGCATAAAGCATTGTGTGAGGGTGATAACACAATATCGTTTGCGAACTGTAGCACCCCAAACGATTCGTTCTCGAGTTCCAGTTTGTTGAGCAGAGACTGTGTGTTTTGGTTCTACAAAGCTGTGTCCATCATAACATTCAATAATCAATTCATTGCATTCAATCTTGCACCATTCCATCAATGATCAGTTCAAAACATGTCTTTTTATTCTCTATGCTGCCCCGTTCAACTGTAAGTGCTTTTGATGTGAAATGATAATGTCTAGAAGCAACAATGGCTCAGCCGCAAAGAGGTAGGCAACACAAGCTCACAGAACGGGACCGTCGAGTGCTGAAACGCGCAACAATCGTCTGTCCTCGGTTGCAACACTCACTACAGAATTCCAAACTGCCTCTGAAAGCAACGTCAGCACAATAACTGTTCGTCGGGAGCTTCATGAAATGGGTTTCCATAGCAATGCCAAGCGTCAGCTGGAGTGGTGTAAAGCTCGCTGCCATTGGACTCTGGAGCAGTGATGAATCACGCTTCACCATCTGGCAGTCCAACGGATGAATCTGGGTTTGACGGATGCCAGGAGAACACTACCTGCCCGAATGCGTAGTGACAACTGTAAAGTTTGGTGGATGAGGAATAATATTCTGGGGCTGTTTTTCAAGGTTCGGGCTAGGCCCCTTAGTTCCAGTGAAGGGAAATCTTAACGCTACAGCATACAATTACATTCTAGACAATTCTGTGCTTTGGGGAAGACCCTTTCCTGATTCAGCATGACAATGCCCCCGTGCACAAAGTGAGTTCCATACAGAAATGGTTTGTCAAGATTGGTGTGGAAGAACTTGACTGGCCTTCACAGAGCCCTGACCTCAACCCCATCGAATACCTTTGGGATGAATTGGAACGGCGACTAATTCGACCCAGGCCTAATCGCCCAACATCAGTGCCGACCTCACTAATGCCCTTGTGGCTGAATGGAAGCAAGTCCCCGCAGCAATGTTCCAACATCTAGTGGAAAGCCTTCCCAGAAGAGTTGAGGCTATTATAGCAGGGACCAACTCCATATTAATGCCCATGATTTTGGAATGAGATATTCGACGACAGATGTCCACATACTTTTGGTCATGTAGTGTACGTATAGAATCGTCTTGAAAGGGAAAGATGCACATCCCTAGTGGAAGGCTTTGTCCAATTTGCATACGATTGACACTTTTCAGTTATTTCATTCATCATGAGCGGAAATGTATCAGAATGTTGTGATTGCCCCCAACCTTAGATCAGTGGATTTAAGGTTGGTGATGGAATTACTGCTGGTACATGCTCAAATGTAAATCCCACATGATAATCCTTATCAGGAAGTTGCTTCCTGATATAATAGTGATTTTAATGATTACTGGTATTCTTTCTTACAAGCTTCTCTCTGCTTAAACAGACAGCCCTGTCTTTTGGTTGTTTTGATATGGCTTTATTGAGAGGATTATTCTCTGTGGAACAATCTGATAAACATCAGTTATCTCTAGTGTTTTCGCTTTGACCCTCGTCTCTTTACCTTTTGTTGCCTCTTTGATTAGGGACAAGCCCATGTCTACTGTCATTTTACCTGTCTGTTACATTTAGTTTAATGCTCCCAGCTATTGTACCATCAGTCACAGAGTCAAAGTCTATACATCCGATAAAATGGCTTGTGCTTCTGAATTTCGCTTCTGTGATAGTTGTAGCATTGACAAAACTACACAGATTGCAAACTCCAATCTCTTGATGTATTCAAATGATTTGTTTTTGTTCTGTCTGTATTCAGTGTCTTGTGTTTTACACGCCATCAGCAACCATTCAGCTCTGCAGCCCCCCCCCCACACACATACACGCTAACTTTATCTTCCATTAGACACACTGACTTACTATAACCGCTGTGAGAATACTCACAAATCCTATAGTGCTTGACGAAAATAGACCAAAAGACTTAGGGTATAAAATTGAGGCCAAGCATACACAAAAAATACTTGTCCGTATTGTTTACAAGGACAGTTTGTGTTGGCAGAGTCCGGCGTTACACTGCCTTTTGAGAACGACTTCTCACCAAAAGGTAATTTCGAAGCTAAAGCATTGTGTAGGCCACCATCCAGCTCAAATGATCCTTTAAATAATCCAATATTTTGGATGGTTTCTCTAAACATTTTGAAACCTTTCTGAGGGTTGCCATGGAAATGTACTCATCTCAGTATGTGAAACACAGTTTTGCATGGCTCTGAACTCAAAAATAATTCCGTTATTAAGGATTACTTTTACATTTCTACCTGAGGAGCAAACTTGGAATTCCTGAGTACTTGCTCAGCTGTTATTCCTTCCATCTCTCTCTCTCTCTCTCAGAGGAATGTGCTTTGGGATGTCTCAACACTTCTGAGACCATGCAGGAAGAGTGAGCCACCGACTAGCCAGCAGCGTCGCATCCGCTCTGCTAATGCTTCACAAACAAAGAATGTGCCATCTGTGAAGAGGCTTAAAGAAATTCTTTTTTTAAGAATCCTTTTAGGCTGAGTCAGATTGTACAGAGTCCATTTCAGAAACCCTCTGTGATCGCTGTGTACTGTACGCTCTGTGAATGTCTGCCAGTAGACGGCACATAAGGTTGTACATGTTGCAAGGCTGCTCTTTTACATTGTCAGGCGGCCTATTGTAGCATGGTTGACTTTCCCCCCTGTGTTTTCTGTGCTACTGTAAGGTCATCGTTGGGGAAGTGAAGTGGAAACACTTAGGCAGCGATTCTGGTTGTGAGCTGGGTGGAATCTGTGCCAATTTAACTGGGCCTTCGGCAAAAGGAGAGCAGGGAGAGGGGTGCAGGACCTGGAAAAGCCTTTTAAATAGAAACAGCCACTTGTCCATATTCTGAAAGATGTTTTTTAACTGCAGATATCTACGTCGCTTTAACAACTCTCACTAATACATGTGGAATATCTCTGACTTTACAATAGATTTGGCCTGAAGGTTAACAGGATCAGGGTTAAAGATGGTAGCTTAGCGCAATTCCTCTGAGAAAAGTCTGTTTTACCACTAATGTAATAGTTATCTTATGACATTTAACACTCTTTAGTCTCTCCAAAGAAGAAAGGTTCTATTTTTTGAAGAACATTTTTCTATTCTTTTGGGATTGCTATACACTAGTCTATTGAAGATTTAAGCTAAAACAGTCTCTTCCCGGACTGTCCGATTGTCCTACTATCTGTTTGCCCTGAACTGTTTGATAGCAGTGTGCATCCTGTTGATGCTGAAACATTGAGGTTGTCATTGATAATGACTGACTAATGCATGATGCAGCCCCGTGTGATCTCCATATCAAAGTAGAAGTATCACTGAACTGTAATGGGTGCCATCTGTCAAAAGAAAGTTTGGCTGACACACACACACATTATGGTATTTTCCTTTTAACTATGTATAGCAACTGGATTTTAAGACGGGCACCAGGAATGGTGGTTGAAACCCATCTTAAAACCCATCCAGGGGAAATTATTCTGCCCTCGATAGGAACAATATTTTCCACTTCATTTATTTTATTGAGATATTTATTTTATTGAGACTCTTGAGCACAACTCTTTCCCATTGCTAATATCTACCACGTACATATCTTTATCTCAACTCCCCCCACGCTTGTGTATCAGTATTTATGCCACATCCGTTCTCTTAAACCATCCTCCACCCTAAAAAACATCTTATTAGATGGTGCCATTTCCCCCATTCATTTGAGATTGAGACCTGCAGTCATCTTGATTTAAGACCACTTTTGAGATATTGACAAACTTCATCTGTTCCTGTCTCTGGGTAGTGGATTAAAAAGACCATCAATCTCCAATGATATTATTGTACAATTATGAACATTGCTGTTAAGATATCTGCTGTTTTTTATATGGGCCGGTTTAGGGTAGGCCTGTGTTTTTGTTTCCTTCTCTCACATCTCTTCAGAGAGAGGCTCGAGCCCACCCTAGTGAGGAGCTGTACCTCCTTCTCTTCCTCCCCTGCTCCAGCCATGAATGGACCTTTCTCTGCACCATGGCCAGGTGACAGGCCTGATTTACCACCACTGACCAGAAATTAAAATAGCAGGCCTGTTTGAAGTGGGCTCAACCCCACTCTCCAAGCCCCACCATGGCTCTCAGACCAGCTCTTGTCCGCAGACCCAAGCGTGGCTATGAGGGGCTGCAGAGCATAGGACCGCTCAGCAAGAAGGTCACAGCACTCTTAACCTCTATATCCTGGGAATTGTTTTTCTTATTATTTGAGAAAATGGAGAGGCCTCACTTGAGGGACCTCAATATACTGTATTCTGGCCTGCTGACAACACAAACACAGCTATAAAGCATCTAGGACTGTTTATTTATTCTGTGCCAGGAGTGGAATGCTCCCCGAAGAGGGACGAAGACAGTGCTTGGACGCCCTATCATTGTCATTGATGTAGGAAGCTTGGATGTAGTATGGGTACAAATCATTAGAAGTGGAAGTGACTTTTCAAGTAATTTACTGCTAGATATGTGGACCACTTATTTTCTAAGAAGGTATTGCTTACTGGATGCATAGCCTCAACTGACTAAAATATACTTTAAATGATAGTATTTTGTTTTGATTGCAAAGTCTCTAATACCATTGAGGCCATCTAATTGTTAACCATACTTAGATATAGGTTATATAATTAGCTAATAACATAAGAGGCCAGTTGCTGTTAACACCTGAGTTGGTGTTTAGACATGCAGATTGTGCATCAAGTCTGTATTCCCATATGCTGGTTAGTCTGCGTGTTGAGTGATACTTTGGCAGCGCTGAAGACAGCCATAATCCCCCTGAATGCTGTATTTACCACGAGCAGTCTGACAGCCAAGCAAATTACAGGTCTATAACATCTTTGGTGCTGCACTGCAGAAACGTGACTCGGGACATGGTTGAAGAACTAGGTCTCTTTGCCTCCTAGGTGAGGGCCTTTGGTATGCATCATGGCCCTACCAACGATCCCGGTTTCATATACATGATTGGTATTCTTTTTTGTTTCTGTATAGAGGCATGTCGGTTCTCGTTTCAATAGAGAAGATCTTTAATTAGGTCTTAATTTGATTTAAGGAAAAAAAATGCCCTGTAATTCCTGGCACGCCAATGGTTCGGGGGGTGAAGTTTGCTAAAGACAGGGTGGTATCCAAGACTGCCGCCGACTTGCATGCCAAGAATACATTTGCAAGTACCTGATTTTACAGCGAGCTCTGTGAACATTCCATGGGCTGAGATTTAAATCTGTTGTGTGGACATGCTGACCAAAATGGTTCCAGACTGCACACCAGTAGCAGATACAGGTTTATTTGAAGTGACTTAATGGCTAATAAAACATGGTTGCCATCCAAGACTAAACACATTACTATGCAGGAGAACAGGAAATCATGGAGAGTGGGCCAAATGAGGTCACTAAGAGTTCAGTCATGGCAAGACGTAACCAAAACAAGACTGTTTTTTCTGGAAACTATTTTTTCCTGGTTATATCATGTGGTCAGGAAAAATGTCTGGCCCTTAGTTGTGAAACATGGAAGTATTTTATCGCCATAGGTTTAATGCAGGTTGTCAAACTTTCACCTGGAGAAAAGGGCTAGTCATTGGTGCAGCTGCATGCAATAAGGAGGTTTCATGTCACAGTGAAACCCAGCTGTAGATATAGTGACCCATTGTGGGTCAAAGAGTGAGCTGGACATAGCCACATGGATGTGCTGCCTTATTAATCTCATCCCGCTATGCTCTGGCGCTCACTCCATTCAAAGTATATCTGGAGGACAATACAGTGTTTCATTGGTTGGAAATCTTCGCTCATCTGGCTCCAGCCTCTGCAGTGTATCGCGTAAAACATATTTGATGGATGTATTCCTGCAGTGCATGATGCGTTTTCATGAAGGTGGCTCGATAGGAATATTGGTCAAAAAAAAAAAAAAAAAAAATTGTAGACTGTAATACTAGGCCGTACTGAAGGGCCTTGAGGGTATCCCTTTCAGTGTAATCTTTGTTTGCTCTCAGCTCTCATTCAGTAACCACAACAGGTCTAACTGGAAGGTCTCCTCTCCCATGTTTGAAATTCAGGTGAGGACAAGTTCGGGCAAAAACTTTTCATGCTTGTGCCACCAGGATAACGCTCTGCAAATTAATTGTTTGACAGTGGCACGTTTGATGCTGCTTCTCATGTCAGGGTGCCGCGTAAGGACAAAAATGGCACAGAAATTGGAGGGAGAAACGATGTATCAATTACATAGTTACGTTTCTCCCAACCAAAAAACCTGACTCCAGTTAGGCTACAGTTGAGTTTTTTAATACTTTTAAATGAGAAGTAGTAATAAATACCAACTAGCATCTGCATTTCCTTTCTCAATAGCAAATAGACTACGGCATCTTTCCACTGTTTACTAACATTTATCTAATGTAATCAATGTAGGAGCAAACATTTAAATCTAAATGAAAAGGCAGCTGGAGCTTTGTAAAGACTTATTTTTCTACAGATGGTTTAAGCAGAGTCTCGTTCCACATACTTGTGTTTGGAAGGCTACAGTTTTCGCTTTTGGAGCCAAGACCTCTGCAGCTGTTGTACAGGCGTTTGTCGAGTGGGGGCTAGAGGAGAGGAGCTAGGGTTTCTGTTTACCTTTTGGATCTTATGAATTAAAGATGGTGGCTCGCAAAGAACGTGATACATTTAAGATGGTGAAGCTCAGAACCAGGTCCATGGGCCAGAACCTGTAACCACCCCCCACCCCAAACACACGTACACACACCCTGCCTCATTTGTCATCTGAAAACAGTTCCTTATTGTGCATATGGCTGTGTCTCTCGTGGCTACTATCCAGTTCCGTAATGAGCAGCAGCTGGCTCCGAGGGCTGTACTCGGAGCTGCATCCCTGGCCCTGATGAATGCATCAGTTGTTGGTTGTTTAGCAGTCCCTCTCTGTTCAGCCCCCTGCCATCCATACTCGTACTGTTGCAGCCCCCCAGTTAGAATTTACTGTGGTCCAGTTGACCTGGAAAAGTGTCACGGCCTGGCATCACGTCCTTGCCTGCAGTTAAAAGAAAACAATCTTCTTGGAAGGTGTGTGCAACATTAGCCATGCAGACTTCTGTTAGCAGTTCATTGTGTAGCTAGTGACGACATCTGCTACTGCAATGAGCTGAAGTTGTTGGCTCAAGTTCCTCTTATTGCGCTTGTGCTTGTCTGTGCCACATGAGGAGAACAATGATAATGCCATGACTGCACAGCAGAGTTTCAGGCCATATGAAGTGATATCTGTGATGACTCGAGTGGAAATTGTAGGTCAGCTTCCTCCATTTATAGTAATTGAATGAAAAGGCCTCTTTGGCGTGTTCAGACTGGAGGCCCCTGCTTGTTCATTTCTTTCTTTCCCTTTTTATGGGCCTCTGGAAATGTTTTTAAATGTTTTTCAAGGCTAATGCTCTATTTCAAGATGGCCGCGGTTAACTCGCTGTCTCTCTTTTCCTCCTCTTGGGTTTTCCACACCACAAGTGTTCATAATTTACATATTATCAACTATGTGGGAACTGGGGGAGGCCACTAATCTCAAAACTGTAGGAGAGGAGGAGTGTATTTGTTGTTAATCATTGTCTGAACAAAAAAAATTATACTGCTATGATTTGCTGGGCAGTGTAGTCTGATTCACTGATACTCTCTTTGTGGGTTATGCACGTCTAAATTAAACATTGAGACAACCTTTGAAAGACAACATGCTGAGGCAAAGGCTCCCGGCTGGCTAAAATTGACTTTTGGGTAATCTGTCCTAGATATCGTTCAGTCCCCCCTCTTAATGGCCTCTTCCTCTCGGCCAGTGGGTTTCCTGTCTCAGCTGAAGGCGTCCAGAGTGCTTAGTGGAGAATCAGTCTGAGGTGGAGCAGGAGGTCACAGGGCCTGGGAGAGGCAGTGGAAAATGCTCTGTTGCTAAAAACATTGACTGACACTGAGGCTTTGGGTCACTGGGTTATTATGATCCTACTGTATTCTGTTAGTAGTGACTGCATTATATAGGACAGATTAGTTGCATTGTTTTTTGTCGTTTCCATTATAGCTTGGAATGGTAATGTTCCACAGATAGCCACCACTAATGTTTTTATTCATTAGTAATGGCATTTTATAACATAGAACATAATTAGTCATAACTTGTAAATGGTAATGATTATAGGGGTAGCTACTAGGGGTGTGAACATTTTAACGAAGTTGGGATTGTTAACGTTAAGAAAACTCCCTAACCAAAAAAACGGTTTTCCCCACATAATTGAAATCACAGTGCAGTTATCACAAAACATATTCTTTTTCATTTTATAGCCTAACTAGACTGGGGACAGTTTTTAATAAGACCAGAGACTTTGGTGAATTTGCGAGGCATGCACGACAAGACAGACATATGCACGTGGTTCTGCCTGCCCCGCCTCTCTCTCCCTCACGCTGGCCTGCCTGCTCTTTCTCTTTGCTAATGATGTGAGTGTGTGTTCAGTCTTCGGTCTGTTGCCTGTAGGATATCCTAGTTTATTCATGGGACCGATGTCGCCGGGATACAGAGGTATCTTCAGGACAGTCTTGCGGGCACGGGGTACTCTTCGTTACTGAGTGGGTGGCAGGGCCGGCCTGCTCATTAGGTAGGATTAGTCTGCCGACTATGGCGGCAGATTGACGTGGTCGGCATTTTCTGAGCTAAACTGACCTCCAACAACATGTAAAACCTCACATTTCTTCTCAACCAGTGATATATGGGCTTTCTAGGTGAGCGGTGATGCCACCCTGTGATAAGCAGTGCCCACTTTCTGAAAGGCATGGCCGCAAAATATTTTGCTTGTCCATTCCCAGTGCACCTCTCTGTTGGAGAGACGCTTCGCTGTGGCGCTCCACCAACGTTCCGTCAAAAAAATTATCTAACATAAATCATGTAGCAGATGATAGCATATGATAGAAAGAGGATGTTGCCTTTTCTGTAGCCTACAGGCTGGAGATGAAATGAATGACAATGTAATGAGATGGACACTTTTTACAGCAGGTTTCTCCGATCAAAGAACCTAAACTAAATGGCACCCAATCCCCCCAAAAATGCACTGACATTTTAACAAACAATATATTCTAAAAACAGGATAGGTCAAAGGTAAATGGACAATATGGAATGGACAATCAGGCTACTCACAACTGCTGTCCAGGAGTTTCCTCCTGTGGGCTAAATTGTCATAATCAATACATTTTTGACGAGCTGAACATAGCAAAAAGGAAAATACTTCTGCATTTCTCGCTGCGTAAACACATTGCAAATAGGATCAAGATAACTCCTGATAAAGTTGGGTAGCTGATATTCAGAGCTTATATATATATTATTATTATTATTATTATTATTATTATCATTATATTATAAATAGGCAAATTGATTAGTCACAGGAATCAAGACTAATAAAGCCAATGCAAAGGCCTGTTTTACAAACGGTGGGCCTATCACCACAAATTCCATTGCGGGCCACACCGTAGGCTACACCCCATTAAGCACGGACCGACGCCAACGTCTTTTTTTGGTCCTGTCCAGACCGGCTGACATTTTTTGTTTGTTGGTGTTCTACAAAAGGTAGTCCTACCACATAGATGGGCATTCATAAAATAAAAATAAAAATTCAATTTGGTTCTGAATTAAAGTTGAAAATACGTACTTTCAACGTCCAGAAAATATGTATTTTCAATTTTAATTCAGAACCGAAAATTATCTTGATTTCAACGTCCGGAAAATACGTATTTTTCAACGTCCGGAAAATACGTATTTTTCAACGTCCGGAAAATACGTATTTTTCAACGTCCGGAAAATACGTATTTTTCAACGTCCGGAAAAGACGCCTTTTCAACGTCCCGGAAAATATGTAATTGAAACATCCGGAAAAGACGTCTTTTCACCTTTTATTCAGAACCTAAATTGAACCAACGTCTGAAAAATACATTTGTTTGTCTCGCCTAGGGCGGCAGAACTGCCAGGACCAGTCCTGGTGGGTGGGGGTGTTTTTGTCTCATAATATGAAATTACAGCTACATGTAGCCTGTATCGATTACCCTTTTCAGATATAATGGAATCTGGCCCGTTAAAAGCGCCTCAGGTACAGCATGTTTGTTTGTCTGTTAGGGTAGGCAACACTATGGCTTTTTAAATGCCGACACAAAACCTTCTCTGGAGATATGAACAGCATTTTACTTGTCTGTAAAGTAATGCTGCTTCTGAGCAGGACTAACTTCCATTACTAGGCAACCAGAAATGTCAATCAAATAATCTCGAGCTGCTGCATGCAGCCTGCCTGCTGCCTGCCAGCAGATTACTCTCTCCTAAAAAAGTACTTTAAAGTTCTTTAAATACTGTGACTTCCCAATACATTTTAGTAGAAAGAGAGCACATCTAGCTACGCTACCATTAAAAACCGCATACAAAACAACACAGCAGCGCATCAATCAGCAACATTTATTGTTGTCAGGGAAACAATAGAACATTATATGCCGGAGCAGAATTCTACTGTCTGAAAAGGTACAGACTCTTCTGATGCGACATTTTTTATTTGTCTGAAAGGTTATCAGTTGTCGCTATTGACATGTTACTGTAGCTGTGTTCTATGTCTGTCGGTAGATATAACTTCATTGTCCAGCCCAAGCGGTCATACATACGTAATAGGACCATTATTCTACATTGTGAATTGACATGGAATTTTAAGATTCTTTCTTATTGTTTACATTTACATTTTAGTCATTTAGCAGACGCTCTTATCCAGAGCGACTTACAGGAGCAATTAGGGTTAAGTGCCTTGCTCAAGGGCACATCGACAGATTTTTCACCTAGTCGGCTCGGGGATTAGAACCAGCGACCTTTCGGTTACTGGCACAACGCTCTTAACCACTAAGCTACCTGCCGCCCAGGTGAAAAAAAAGATTGAACTGAATCTTTTTTTGCAGTTTAAACGTTAAGCAAAATTGTCAATTTGTAACATCCCTACACCCTACCACCCATTTTGCTACTGGTGTGGCTCCATTGCCCCTGTGTGCGGTAAGATTTCATAGTCTTCTTTCTGCACAAAACTATTAATGGAGGGAACGACGCCTCAGGCTTTGCGACAGTGTGAGACTTGTACACAGAGTAACTTTGATTATGTAATCCAAGCAATCCAGTTTATAGTACTTACTGCACTGATTGATTATAGGTTAATTGTGTCTAAATGTTGTCATTAGTCTCTGTCAAGAACCCTCTCAGATCCCCACTTTGTAGTGTTTGTTTTATTTATCATTGAGGGTGTTTAAGGTAGCTTAATTTAAGATGCAAATTTTAATTAACCCGGTTATCCTAACCCAGACAGCAGGAAATGAGCCCATTTCTTCAGAAAACATTTAGAAGCAGCTTGTTTTTGATGATCTAGGCAATTAGATAAAACAAAGGAATGTAACACTTGTTTCCCACAGCAGGAGGCTAGTTTAGAATTGAGAAAAATGACAACAACATTGAACAAGTCTCTGTCGAGTCCCTTTTTTCCCTCTGCCCCATCAGGCCTGATAGCATGGAAACAGGAAATACAACTATCCCCTGCCCTTGAGTGTGTAGCCTGGGCTGACTGCTCTAACATGGAGAAAGTTTCCCCTTTATGTCTGTTAGCAGTCTGGGAAAGGATTGCTACTGCACATTAGTGGTAATTAATTAAGACCCATGGTGATTTCTTTCTAAAGGTCTTGTCTGTGCTGGTAGCATGTAGTCTGTTAATGAGTGGCCATTTGTATGCTATAAAATGGAAATAGCTCTTCCAGGGGTCTACTTTGTCGCATTTCTCTCAAATATATTACAGTACAGGTCTCAATTAATGTTTTATGGTATGTGAGGAGAGGCCTTTAAAAAAATTAGTTGGGCCTTGAGCTTTAAAGGGACAATCTGCAGTTGTTACATACATTTTTGGACTTATAAATGAATAACATGTACCCATTGATACTTGAAGAATATAGCTTATTAATGCCTCATGAGCTTAGTTCGTGCCCCACCAGAACCCCAAATATAAGCTTGTTTTACTCCAATGTTTGTTAACAAAGTATATGTAAACATACACTATATAGCCTCAAAACATGTTTCAAACTATAATGGTGATATCATGGATGGTCCTTGCATCCATAGCTCTGTCCATGAATTTGAGAGTGGTTACTTTTCTCCAGCCTCATCCCTCAGCTTTGGAGTGTGCGTTGTTATTGTTTCAACTGCTGATTGCCCCTTTAAGGATATTAATATGTAGATACAAGTATTTTTTGTATACTTTTGCAATCGTATTGATATGTCTTTAGTTAAATGTATGGCTGGGATGATAATGACTCAATCATGGACACGTGATGTATTGTTGTCTCTACCTTCTTGCCTTTGTGCTGTTGTCTGTGCCCAATACTGTTTGTACCATGTCTTGTGCTGCTACCATGTTGTGCTGCTACCATGTTGTTTTCATGTTGGGTTGCTACCTTGCTGTGTTGTTGTGTGTTGCTGCCATGTTATGTTGTTGTCTTAGGTCTCTTTATGTAGTGTTGTGTTGTCTCTCTTGTTGTGATGTGTGTTTGGTCCTATATTTATATATATATATATCTTATTTTTATCCGCGCAGGAGGCCTTTTGCCTTTTGGTAGGCCGTCATTGTAAATAACAATTTGTTCTTAACGGACTTGCCTAGTTAAATAAAGGTTAATTAAAATTAAATAAAAAATAAATGTACTGTGCTTTCTTAGGAGAATCAAAGGCCTTTTGCATCAAATACCCCTTTAGAGCATCAATTACACCAGCTTTGTTTTCCATAGTCCTTCACAAAAGATCTGCCATACTCATGCTGAGCTGATTACTGATTACTCTGCCAGAGACCAGGGTCATGCTCTCAATTCCTTTCAATGGTTTTATTTTAACAACATGGCTTTACCACTAATCAGTCTGTGCCTTAGGAAATTAAAGGTTGGCGTAATAGAATTCTTCAAAGGTAAAATATCAATGGGAAAATGGAGTGACTATATTTTGAAGGTCAGATATATATTTGAGAATATAGGGGCACCATGGAAAAAAGGAATTAGTCACCTTCGTATGATCACTATGAGCACTGAAACTTAGTGGAAAGACTAATTATACCCTCTCTGTATTACTTTGATTAACTGTAACACTGCCATATTAATCTTGGAAATGTGCTGAAAGAAGTTGGGGTGAAAATTGATGTTTAATTCAATGCTTTTGATGTGGTAAACGAATAGTTATTTTTTCTCCTCTTTTCTAGGATTCCGTAAAATTAGCCTGGATGACCTTCGCAAAGCCTACATCGTCAAGGACGTGCAGCAGTACATCCTCCACCGGCTCGACCAGGAGGAGGCCCTTCGCCAGCACCTCACCAAGGAGACAGCCGAGATGCTCAACCAGCTACACATCAAAAGCAGCGGCTGCTTCCTGTACCTGGAGCGCGTGCTGGACGGAGTGGTGGAGAACTTCATCATGTTGCGAGAGATCCGTGACATTCCCGGCACGCTCAATGGCCTCTACTTGTGGCTCTGCCAAAGGCTGTTTGTCCGGAAGCAGTTTGCCAAAGTCCAGCCTATTCTCAACGTGATCCTTGCAACCTGCAGGCCGCTTACTTTCAAGGAGCTTTACCACGCTGTCTGGACCAAAAACATGTCTCTCACCATGGAGGACTTTCAGAAGAAGATGGACATCCTCTCCAAGTTGTTGGTCGATGGCCTCGGAAGTACTAAGATCCTCTTTCACTACAGTTTTGCAGAGTGGCTCCTGGATGTTAAGCATTGTACCCAAAAGTACTTGTGTAATGCAGCGGAGGGACATAGGATGATGGCGATGAGTTACACTTGCAAGGCCAAGCAGCTCAAACCGCTGGAGGTGCAGGAGTTTGCCCTGCATCTGATCAACTCCAACCTACAGATAGAGCCTTTCAACCTGGCTCTTTGGATGGTGTGGAATGGTACACCCGCTAAAGACTCTCTTTCCACCTCCATACCTAAAGAGCAGGAGGTGCTGCAGCTTCTGGTCAAAGCTGGAGCTCACGTCAACAATGAGGACGACCATGCCTCTTGCATAGTACAGCAGGCACTGGAGAGAGAGGATTCGATTCGGACATTGCTAGACAATGGAGCCTCTGTGAACCAATGTGACTCTAGCGGGAGAACTTTGCTGGCCAATGCAGCATACAGTGGAAACCTGGATGTGGTGAACTTTCTCATATCCAGAAGAGCAAATATGGAGATGGAGGACAACCATGGACAAACGGCACTTACACTTGCGGCAAGACAAGGGCACACTAAGGTGGTCAACTGCCTCATCGGCTGTGATGCAAACATCAATCACACAGACCATGATGGGTGGACTGCCCTTAGGTCTGCAGCCTGGGGTGGGCATTCGGAGGTGGTGTCTGCTCTCCTCTACACTGGTGCCAAAGTTGACTGTGCTGATGCCGACAGCAGAACCGCCTTGAGAGCCGCAGCTTGGGGAGGTCATGAAGACATCGTTCTGAACCTCCTCCAACACGGGGCAGAAGTCAACAAAGCAGACAATGAAGGAAGGACAGCTCTCATTGCAGCGGCATACATGGGGCACAGAGAAATCGTAGAGCACCTCTTGGAACATGGGGCAGAGGTGAACCATGAAGATGTGGACGGAAGGACAGCCCTCTCAGTTGCAGCTCTCTGTGTGCCTGCCAGTAAAGGCCATGCCTCTGTCGTAAGCCTCCTCATTGACAGGGGTGCAGAGGTCGACCACTGCGACAAAGACTGCATGACACCCCTCCTCGTGGCTGCCTATGAAGGACATGTGGACGTAGTTGATCTGCTGCTGGAAGGTGGAGCTGATGTGGATCACACTGACAACAATGGCCGAACGCCTCTTCTTGCTGCAGCATCCATGGGCCATGCCTCTGTTGTCAATACCCTGCTTTTCTGGGGTGCAGCTGTAGACAGCATCGACAGTGAAGGAAGAACTGTTCTGAGCATAGCGTCCGCTCAAGGGAACGTAGAGGTGGTCCGAACTCTGCTGGACAGAGGGCTGGACGAAAATCACAGAGATGATGCAGGCTGGACCCCACTGCACATGGCCTCATTTGAGGGTCACCGGCAAGTATGCGATGCCCTCATTGAGCAAGGTGCCCGATGCACAGAGGTGGATAACGATGGTCGAATACCCCTGATATTGTCTGCGCAAGAGGGTCACTATGACTGTGTCCATATTCTTCTGGAAAACAAGTCTTGCATCGACCAAAGAGGTTACGATGGGAGGAATTCTCTCAGGGTGGCTGCACTGGAAGGCCACAGGGATATTGTTGAACTGTTGCTGAGTCATGGCGCTGATATAGACTATAAAGACGCAGACGGACGCCCAACATTATACATATTGGCACTTGAGAATCAGTTAGCAATGGCGGAGTACTTCCTTGAAAATGGGGCCAATGTGGAAGTTAGCGACACAGAGGGAAGGACGGCCCTCCATGTGTCCTGCTGGCAAGGGCATGTAGAAATGGTCAGGATGTTGATCAACTATCATGCCGGCGTGAACTCTTGTGACAACGAGAAGCGATCCGCCCTCCAGTCAGCAGCTTGGCAAGGCCACACAAAGGTTGTGCGGTTCTTGATTGACAATGGCACTCACGTGGATCATACATGTAATCAGGGGGCAACAGCGCTTGGCATTGCTGCCCAAGAGGGGCACAGAGATGTAGTGCAGATCCTTCTGGAGCATGGTGCTGACCCCAACCACGCAGACCAGTTTGGACGCACAGCCATGCGAGTGGCTGCAAAAGGGGGGCATTCAATGATCATCAAACTTCTTGAGAAGTATGGGGCCTCAAGTCTTAATGGCTGTAGTCCTTCACCAGTACACACTATGGAACAGAAAACCCCACTCTCTGTAGCTGGGAAAATGCAGTCTCTCACAATCAAATCCAACAGCTCTGGCAGCACAGGAGCTGGAGACATGCAGTCATCTGGACGTGGTCTACAGAACGGTCCTGTCCACGCCTTCAGCTCCCCTTCAGAATCTCCTGACTCTACCGTGGACAGACAGAAGTCCTCTCTCTCAAATAATTCCCTCAAAAGTTCTAAGAACTCACTGAGAACCACCTCGTCCACCGCGACTGCACAGACTGTGCCGATAGATAGTTTCCACGGAATGACCTTCACAGAGCAAATCCAGCAACACTCTCTGCCTCGCAGTCGGAGCCGACAGTCCATCGTCTCACCTTCCTCCACCACCAAGTCCATTGGACATCATCCGGGGTCTCCATCAAGTGAATTTGACTGGGCTCAGGTTAAGCCAGGTCTCAAGTCGACCAAAGGGAATAAGACCGGAAATGACACATCCAACGGCAAATGGGGGTCAGGAGACAAGAAAAGGCTCAAGAGCTTTGTCTCAACCCAGGGTCAGGTGTTAGAATATGAGATGACCCAGTTCGATAAGAGGATTGTGCTCAACAAATCTGTAGCGAACATTGCAGTGAAGGATCCTCATTGTAAGATCATGGTTGGCGGCTCCACCCAGCCAGATGGGGGGCTGACCCAAGAGCAGTTATTCATCCAACAGCAGAGCATTGCAGAGAAGAAGCGAAATGGCATTATGACCAACCCTAACTACCATCTTCAGGGCAATCAGGTTTTCCTCGGGAGGGTTTCTGTCCCAAGGACTGTAGAGAATAGAGGACACCAGGACGTGCTGGAGAACTACCCTATAGGGGAGACTGAATTAAGCCTTAAACAAGCACTGAAACTGCAGATAGAAGGATCAGACCCTGGGTTTAACTACAAAAAGGAGACACCATTATAGCTGGTAAGTTTTCATTCTCAAACGAATCTGATGTAATTAGAATGTACGTTTTACTAAGCATTAACCACCAACTATAGATTTCTTCTAGTGTTCAACATAATTGTTTTATTCATTATATTAGAAGTAGATGATCAAGTCAGACATGCTTTATTTTCATTACGTTTTTAAACGGGTTCATCTTGAAGATAGTAGAAGTATATGTTAAGCATACAGGGATAGGATGTAGACTGAAGATCAGAATCCCTGTATATACTATTATGAATGTCTTTGTATTACTTCTATGATTTATGGCCATATTATATTTTAATAACAGCATACTGTATCAACAATCTAATGTCTCACTCACCACTACTGGAAACACTTTATGGAAATGTCCTGTCAATATTATATTACAGTCAATTGACCTATCATTAGAAGAACTTCAACTTACATGAATGAGGCATTTCAAAGAATGCCCTTTTCTGACCTAGAAGACTACAATGTTTTCCAACTCAGCACTAACCCAAATAATTTCCATTACCATTTCAGATGTCTTGAATGCCATTCGTCATGACAGACATCGGAGGGAATGTGCCAAAGCAACTTTTTTCATCTGCATAAGAAATTATTTAAAAAATGTCCACTCTCAAGTGGAACACCTCAGAAAACCTAGGGAAGAATGTTGATCGCTGCACAAGGCTTACATGAACTGATACTTCAATGTGCCTATATCTGTTACAGCCTTCTCAGTGTAATCATGCACACTATCATTTAATGTATTGATATTTAATATGCAGTGTATGCACTTTTTAAATAGAGAAAATGACAAACGTATTTGTTCAGTCTCCCTTTCATGCTCCTGTGTTACAAACTAATTGTTCAAAAAAATATCATACATTTGTTTTTGCGTTTGTGTTATACTGTATGTTCGTTTTTGTGGTCCTGCCTGCAATCATACACACCGACAGCAATGTACCGCTGAGTACATCATCACATCTTATCAGAGGACATCAAGATAATCGATGACATGAGATAATGTTATGCGCATTGGTACTCTGCCTTTCTGAAGACCCAAAATAATCTGTGTTAACCTCGTTTAGTGAACTAAACATATGCTGTGTGTAATATGTTAATAGCTAAGGCAATTTACTATAGAAGTATAATCAACCATATTTATTTAGGAAAAAGCCACTTTAAGTTGTATTGTATGCTCTATCATGGTGCTGTGTTCAAAAGTTGCCTGCAGTTATTTTGGACTCCATTTTGGTCGTCTTGATACTATTTTGTTTGCTATGTGTATTGTACTATTACAGATACCTAAGGGAGAGAGTTCATTGAAAACGTTAAACCCATGTGACTTCATTTTGTCCCTGTGGGACTTTTCATTAGTTTTTGTGTGCATTTTAAATTGATTAAAATAACCATTGTGTATACTGTCAACTACAGAGGTTGGTGCTAAATGCAAAGGTCTGAAGCGAAAGCAGTGATGAATGCATTCGTTGGTGGAATTCTTATTATAACCTGAAATTTAAGAAACAAAATTCAAGCTTTGTTTCCCCTGTTATTGCAGTGTCGCTTATATTTTGATAATTGCAGTATATTTTGGAGCAAGACACAAAAAACGCTTATGGTTCACTCGTCACGGCTTCACTGAGTAGTAGACTTCAATAATATTATGGTTTTAAAGCATGGTTTGAAATGTATACTTGTCAAGCCAAAGTTGGAATAAAGCATTTTATTCTTCTCTGAGCGGCTGTATATCAGTTAACCCAGCTCTAGCTCCACTGTAGAGGGAGGGGGAGAAGCTTGAAGATGGTGCTCTCGGATTGGAAACATCTGTTTCTCATGGACTATGTGGAGCTGTGTGAGCATTTGTGTGTCATATTCTTGCAGGCTTTTCACAATGTTAAAAGTGAGAAGAAAAAAATGGAAAAGCTGTCGCATGCACAAACACGTACTGTATAAACCCAAGTCAAAGCCCCCCGCTCTCCAGTACAGCTTGAAGGTGTCCTATGAAGGGATAAAGGAAGGAGGACTCATTTTTAGGATCAATTCTGGACAGTATTCAAACTTGTTTCGCCATCTGTCAAACCATCATATTGTTTTGAATTGACCATAAACTATTTGATTGTAAATAACTTACCATGTACAGTACATTGAACTTTTCATGTCTAAAATTGATTTCCTGTACTATATTAAGCAGAATTGTCTGATGTATATTAAAGTGCTTAATAAACATATTTGCTTTACTGCTGGAATATTACAGATTCTCTATTGTTACATCATTGTAATTTAATTATTTCCATGTTCTCAATTTATCCTTTAAATCACTGTACAATTGACCAGACACTTAACAGAGATCCATACTATGCAATGTCTATGCCCTATTGGCTAACCTTACATTGAAGCCATTACGTGCATCGCTAAGCATTAAGCAACCATTAACCCAACATTTTGATCGATTGATCGTCAAATAATTGCCTGTTTTGGCAGTGTTGCCTGCCTTAATGCCTTGAATCTAATGAGGCCTACATATACACACATAGATTGACTAGATAACTGTATTCACTCGAGAAGAATGTCACCTTCTGGGATAGTAATTTCCCAATTAACCTTGTGTCAATTGTGTTATCTATGACTAATACCTGGCTGTCTACTGTTTACTTTGGCAATGACACGTAGGTCAAGGTTGTATAGCAACTGTAATTATTTCTAGCTGACTCATCCGAGCAGACAGATATATCAAGTCAAATAAAGGCCTGATTCAGTAGCCTCCAGTGGGCGGACATTTGGTCGGAATCCAGAAGATAGATGTAGAAAAGGGTCAGATTGTCCTGTTATTAAAGCTACATAACCACAGGCTACACTGAATCTTTCCCCACCGTGCAGTTGATGGTGGAGGGCCAAACCAGGGCACTGCATGCATAGCAGCATTTGGATGAAACTGAAGTGGAACAGAGGGCTGTGCCAAGCTCCATTACAGCTCTGCTTCACTAAGTTCACCACATAGGAAGAGATACACAAGAGGTCTGATCATAGGGATGGTATTGTATGTTAGGGCAATGAACTGTTTTATCTCATTTCGAAGAAATAAAAAGTGTTGAAATTACATTTGACTTTAAAACAGATTTAAGCAATCCTTTGTAATGAGGATCAAAACGGTTATTACAAGATTCATTTTATATGTTGGCGATTATGATTATTATTTCTCTTTTCTATTCTAATCCTTTTGACGGTAAGTAACTTCGATCGTTGCACCCTTTTCATCCGGGCATGGATTGAAAAGGAAGATCATGTTATTTTGGGGAATTGGAATATACAAATATAATTACTATTAATATGTTTTGTTGTTGTGGGTGGAGGGAGTGGGGTAGTGCTTTCGCTGCAATTTTCAGGCTATTTTGTAATACAGAAATTAGCACATCAAAACAAAGAGATGGCAATCCAAAACAGAAAAACGAATCTTGCTCTTTGAACTTCAGAGCTTCTAACTACAAACAAGGGGGACTTGATCTTTGATATGTCTACCCTGCCATATAGGCCAGTAATAAATAAGCTCCATGTTGTAGGTCCTCAGCTATAGAATGTCTTAAGGTGTTTGGGGATTCAACCAGGGTGTTAATGAGCAAACATCATCATGCGCTGTAAAAAGGAGTGTCCATGGGTGTGTCTGTCTCTCGGACTCTGCCAGTGACCACATCTGTTTTTCCTCCACCCTTGTTTTGGATCCCAACAATCTCTCACAATACAACCTCTGAAAAGAGCACAATTGTTTTCCATAGACCAATTTCAAGTAGTATTGCATTCTAATTGACACACATCAGGCATGTTTTGATGCCAGTCTGTTCACGTGAGTGATCTTTAGGCATGTGATGGACAAAATGCTGCTGTGTTCTTTTTCAAAACAAGTTCAATTAGTGGACGAGCTGTATTGGAGTGAAGCAGTACACCTCCTATCAGCCCAGACAGAATCATTTTCTAATGTTAATTCTGTTAAAGGAAATGGGCGTGCACAAACAGCTAAATACTCCAGTTAAACGGATCAATGTAGGAGCTGGTGAGGAGGCAGTAAAATAGGGGTCATGGAGAAATCGCTCAATGGGAAATACTGTATAAGTCCACTCATCTATTTTTTTATGACAAAAGTGCTGTGAGGCATAACACTTTATCGGTCTGGGTTTCAAATGAAAATATGTCGAATTTTGCTGAACGTTCCTGCAATTATATGATAATTCACTGGAGGAAAAGGTTATGATTTGCGCATGCTGGATGGAGATTTATTATGTTGCAGATGGAGGCGGCAAATGAACTTCAGAGCAGCATTAAATACATGCCCTGCTGCATATCTCATTACCTTGGGAGCTGGTGCTGCACTCGCCTGAATTATAAATAGGTGAAAGGGATTGTTTATTTTCATATGAGGCAACGTTTTAACTAAGGCAGAGGACGTGACTGAACAGATACTAAACGAAGATGTTAAACGGTCATTTGTTAAGATTCTGCAATCATAAAAGCAATGGGGAAAGTTGACTTGTGTTCTAAGATGAGATTCTTCAAAGGAATGAATGAATGGGCCCTCATGAGTAACAGGGTACAAAATACATTATTTCAAAAAGATATGTGTCAGACTTAAGATACGTTTTTCACTTTTTGACTAAAGGTAGCATCAAACCAAATATTGATCTACAATGCTAAAAACATGCCTTGTTTAATAAAGGTTGCTATATGGCTATATTTTGAAGTAAGGTGGCTCAAGACAGATAATACTAATATTTGACATAAAATAATAAAAGAGTAATAGAACATGCATATACCATGTATACACTCAGTGGCCAGTTTATTAGGTACATCCATCTAGTACAGTGTTGGACCCCCCTTTGCCTCTAGAACAGCCTGAATTCTTCAGGGCATGGCTTCGACAAGGTTCAAACTTGGTAATTGGTATCAAGGGACCTAACGTGTGCCAGGAAAACATTCCTCACACCATAACGCCACCGCCACCAGCCTGTACCGTTGACACA